TATTGAATTATTTTTGTATTTATGAATTCATGTTTAATTTTTTTTTTTTAACTGCATACTAAACTATTATAGTAGACTAAGACGTATTTTTATTATTTTGGTAGCTCTAAATGTTATGTTTATATTACCTGTTTCAGCTCTTATTGGGGGATGTGAAAATTTAAATTTAAATAAATATAAAATGTATTCGTTAATTAAACCTACTATACCTTATAATATTTTTAAAGTAATATAATACATTTTCAATCGTCAAATCTTTCTACGTGTAAGAGTCTTAAGTTACATCGAAGAATGCACAATTTGGAATACCTACTACGTTTTGTTGTGTTTACAAGTTTAAGTATATATATATAAAAAAAAAACAATTAAACTTAGAATTAATTATTTAACTGTCTATTTTATGGAATGTAATGACAATAATAATTTATTTATATAGTTATTTACATACATTTTATAATATCAGTTTCACATGATCACACAGAATTTCTTAAAATATTAAATAACTTACTTAATAATATCATAATTTTGTCTAAATTCTAAACGAAAAGATTAGGCCAGATATTATTTTTGATGCAAAACATTTGCAAGGCGTTTGTATAAGGATATTAAAATTACAATAGCTAATAAATTGCGAAGATTGATAGTATAAACCAGACAATAGTTTTTTTTTCTTGGATTAATAATTATTTAAATAGTCATAAGTTTTGTGATAGAATACAACGTTGAAGCATGGAAATTGGAAATTGCTGTAACCTGTTTACGTTTCATAAATCAATTATCAGTACACCCATGTTGGAAACTTTAGGTTTGTTCAAGACTTCTCGTATTGTTAGTATTTATTCAGGAATAATATTAAATAATTTATACCAAAATACGAGATTTTCATCTATCTGGTATAATACTATATATAAACTGAATTTCCATTTGAAACTCGGCCAATTTATTACAATAAATCATAATTAAAAGTTTCAACCAATCCACTGATTAATTACGCTATCGGCACCACAACAAAAGTAAACTTGTATATGGTTATTTCTATCAAATTAATTATTCAGTAGTAAATAACACAAATGTTTTAAATGCTAAATATTGTTCTATTCACCATTGGCCATGACCATATAGATACGTAAATATTTTGATACTAACGGATCCATTAATAATTCCCTGTACTTAAATTAATCAAAATTTACTAACACTGTTTACTCTTAAAACAAAAGAGAAATGTTATATTTTGTATCTTTTACCGATTATGTCATAATAAATATTAAAGCTCTTCCTTTGAAATATTATTTCAACTATTTACGTTACACACTTATTGTAATAGTTGAGTGTACATTAAATTCGACTGAATTTAAAAAAAAAACCAAAAGGTTTATTGTGTTTTTATATAATTGGTTAAAATGATAAGTAGATTCTAAAATAATATGTATTACAAAATTAGATGCTATATAATAAATTGATACTCGTGGTGTGTAAACTAAAAGTTCTGTTAATGTTTTAATGTTCCATTGAGTTCAACAAATAAATAGGTAGAAATAATGTTATGATGAAATTGTTAACAATAATTCAATAATAAAAAAACGAAGATGACATCGTGGGCCGTGCAATAATCTAACCATGTTACTGTCAATTATTTTTTCAAGTCGCTAAGTGTCCCCCAATATAATGATTATGTCTCACTAAAAATAAGTGCCTTCTTACATTTCTTTTTAAAAATAATAAAAATAGAAAATATTTGTTTGATTTCTATTTTAAATTTATGTCCGAATTACAAGCTTACATAATGTTATTGTATATACTACGTAGGTGCAACTAGGATTGTAAAAAACATGAATGGAAGATTACGCCATTCATTATGATCCTGTAACAACCTTCAGAGTAACCTACCGTCGTAGTTGGTATAACCCACTCGATCTCGAGGTCCGTTCACACAGAAAAAGAAAATTCGAAATGTAGCCAATACAGTTTAGGTACGTATAACACTCAAATCATTTATACGTAAAAAAAAATTTCCACGATACAGCAGTGTGTAAAAATATTTTGACACACTGTAATGACTTATAATATGATAGCAAATATCGCGTGTTACAGTGGAAGATCCAGGGGGGGAATTCACCCCTCTCCTCAGACACCGTAGTTGAGGGGCTCATATTTGGGGTACATTAGTATGGTATTTTATTTGACTATATTTACCTGTATATACAAACCTATTAGTATTATTACTATACACTTATTTAGTTTAGATAGTGAAGTTATTACATTTTGATGTTTTATTTAATGCCTATCAGTACCCATCTATATTATAGTAATCTTAAGTATGTACCTACTCATAATTATAGTACCAGTGTTTTAAATTATGTATCACAATTTTTACCCCCCCCCCTCCAAAAAAAAAAAAATTAGCACCTGATCTGCAGCCACTGTAGTGGGTCAGCCAGGTCTACAACAGACCATCTCGAGCTTGCAATATAAGTAGGTATACAAGTACCATAACAACAACAACAATAACAACGATAATAACAATATAGCAATATTATATTATGTCCTCTGGTCATACCTATCATCTATATTCATTCGTCTCCAAATATGACGCGGCGTCCTGCAAATCGCATCGGAACCGTGTGCTTAATCCCCTGCCCTCCCCCCCCTGCAAGACGGATGCGAAGAGGCGTCTTCCTCGATCTGCACTCCGTAGTCGCATTGTCTTACGGATAATTTACCGGTATTTCCGGTACGCGAGCGGTCGTTTGCACGCCGTTTTCAGATACGGCCGACGACGAGCGCACACTCGGAATACCGGTTGCTCGCGGTTTCCCCGCGGTATATCCGGCTGGGTACAGATAAGATGCGATAGATGGATAGATATAGTATCTAAAGTAGTTATATGCACAGTCCGCGACGCGTTTGAGTAGTTAACGTTACGGTGCATCGGAGTTAAGTAGTAGTAGTAGTAGTAGTAGTAGTAGTAGTAGTATAGTAGTGGTTGTGGCAGCAGTAGTAGTGGTCGCTGTAGTATTTAGTTAAGTAGTATAGTCCGTTGTAGTAGTGGAAATATAATATAATATTATATTAGTAGTAGTAGTAGTAGAAATGGACTATAAACAGACAACCGGACCGACCAGGAATCACGTACCTACAGCGTGTGTGTGTTTGTGTGCGTGCGGGCCTGTGTGAGAGTCGTAAGCGAGTGAGTGACCGTGTGTGAGTGAGCGTGTGTGCGTGAGCTGTTCAATGAATGGATACGAGTTCAGTACGCGTATGGACACTGGGCACGCGCACACGACATTACGCGCCGAACCGCTCGACCGGCGTATCGCATTCGCGAAACGCGTTGCGAATTTATGTTATAATATTAATTTTCACTATCGTTATTTTATTTTTTATTTTAAATAGTATCGTAACTACGTCTTTGTTCGCTTCCGTACAGTTTATAAATTTAGTTTTTATTTTATACACTAAATGAAAGAAAAACATTTCTGCCGATTACGCGTACGTGTTGCACAATATACACGGCGACGTATCTCGAGTGCGCCACGGACGGACGAAGGTTTCATCAATCGTGTTACAGATAAACGGGTCGGTCGGTGGGACTTTCGTTCGTTTGGATCGCTCTCGCAACCGACTGTAGAAATGTTCTTTCGTTTTGTTTTGATTTTCTTACCATTAAAATGTTCACGACACACACGTCAATGTTAATAACATCACTATACAATTCTATTCGCGTAAGTGTAAGTAATTATATTATTTTCAACTGTCTCCGAAGACGACAGCTTTCACGCCTCAAACGGATGTACCCAAGTGTAAGAAGTCGAGAGTTTTTTGAAAAAAAAGTAAAGTCGTTATTATAACACTACACACTACGAATCGTAGTTATCTACGATTATTGCTATTTTATTGCTCACACCGAATCATCAAAATATATTATTTTGTTTGTAGTTTTGTATTTGCATATTATACACTCCAAATATTTTATAGTCATTAACATAATAATAATATAATATCGATAAATTTTAAAGATAACATAGTTTTTATGGTATTTTTAGATATAGATATGATTTTTAATTTTTGAAACACAAGTCCAAATGTACGAAATATAATTTTATATTTTATGGTTTATTGTTTTAAATTGACTCATAATATTAACTACCTTGGTATTTAGTATATTTTACTGTATAAACGTGTTAGGTATACCGTTCCAGTGGCATTACGATTACCAGTCATTGGGAATTGTTGATTTTGAGATGGTTTTTTGTATTTTACCTGTGGACTTTGAATTTCTTGATTACCGTATTCAAATATTATATACTTGTATATTTTAGTCAAATACTCTAATGACCTATTTTTGTACTAATTCCCATACCTGTGGGCCGTATATTATGGATTTTATTATTATTTATATCAATTACAAACACTTAAACTTCGAGTACTTCACACGCATCGTTGAACAATAACCATGGTGTAGAGTATAAACTATGGCCGAATATTGTTGTCTAGTAGCACGTTATTGTAATGATCGATATCGGTAGTAACTAATAACGGTAATAAATAATAATAATTGGAATAAGAATAAAGTCATGGAACATAATATTGTATTATTTGGTTTTATCGAAATTGTTGTGTACACGTTTATATCAACGATTGTGTTGTATGTATATTATATTATTACCTTAAAAAATTATTATAATAATATTATACTAATCTACAAGTCGATATAATAATAATATTATAATCAGCGCACGCGCTCGTGATGCGTGCGTGTATGTTTTAGGAGATAATGTTCTCAATAATTCCAGCATGTTCATTAATAATCTGTTTTTATCTGTTGGAATAAAAAAATAAATACGGACATAACGATAAAATCACCGGAGAAGTCATAATATTCCACTGGTTACGTCCTGGCTTGCGAGAGGATTATAATAACATAATATTATCGATGTACGCTGACTCGATGGCGGCGGCATTCTGCTTATCGCGACCGGCACCGGCTTATCTGAACGTCAATGTCCAAAGACGGCTCCTCCGCCGACTTCGCTCATCGTCTGGTCTTCTCCCACTCGCTGGTCTACCTTATCGTTTCGCCCGGCGCGTCCGTCGACACCGTTGTTCGAGAAAGTCGACTCGAGCCGTGGAAACCGATCATTTGCCCACGTCCCCTGCACGACATTTCGATAGCACCTTTAGATTTTCGTGAGTTTCCGTGAGTTTTCAAACGTCACCGCGAACCCGGTAACACATAATATAATTATTGTAATACAGTGTAACCGTATACGAGACGTTATAGGACTTCGGAACAATATAAAATATGGCACACTCGCTGCGATTGATCACCTATCTGGTGCCCAGCCACCCCGTCGAGATGTACGAGTGCATCGCCCACTTCCTGGAGGAAGAGCTGAAAGTCAGCGTGACGCTCGTCTACGAATCCAGAGATCCAATCGACCTGTACGGCGACGACCGTCCCGATCCTTTTTGCCTAAAAGAAGTGGACATAGGTATTGAATAAAAAAAAAGACATTATTACTATACTTAATGCATATTTTAGTGTTCGTTTAAGTCCACTGTTAAATAATAATAATTGTAATAATAATTTAATATTATGTTTAATCAAATTAATTGTCAATATTTCAAATCTGTGTGAAAATAGGTCCTTGTTATGTATAGTTTTGTTAGGTTTATTGTGGCGTATTTATTATTATATATTATTACGATTATTATTTATTTGAACGAAATCAGAAAATTACGTTAATCCTACACGCACAGTGTCGGGAATCCGTCGTTGGGTTCATGCAGCTTTATTAATGGCATAAATATAATTTTATTTAGATAAGAACGTTTCGCATTCGACAGCATTCACAAAATATGTGATATTTAATTTTGCATAGACGCTAGTAGTTGTTGATGAAATATTTTACTGTATCCATACTCGTTTTTTCGTAATAACATATTATAATATGAACCGTTTTTATTGTTTTTTGAATGAACGACTATTGTAATTTGTAGTTAAACGTTTTTATTATAGTTTCACACACGTCTAGTTACAGAGCAATCGATATCTTTTATTAAGTGAATGCCTTAACTCAGTTTTATTGATAACAAAACGTGTCAATACAATTTTATTATGCAAGGTTCATCACGTGTTTCATTAATGTGCATTCAGAATGTTCGAAAATAAACCTTCAATAATCGCGATATCACCAATTAACTTTAAAACTTGTGAACTTTGTTATCATTATTATAATATTATTTTTACCTAATTTTAGGCCAAAACACTCTCTATTTTAGTTTATCTATATATAGCTAATATTATAATTAGTTCTATATCCTATAGGTATAAATTGTTTTGAATTAGTAATATTATAATCGAGCACACTATTTTTCGATTGACTTATCCATTTAAATACAATAGTAATAATAATAATTTAATTTGTGTGTGACAATGATCGTCAGCTAGTTTCACCTTGATAGGTACATAATATAAGTATATCGTTTGTATCCAAATTCCAAATTTTACGTTGGCAGAATTAAAATATTAATATAGGAAGAGAACTTTAGTCATGCAAGTATGAAACCAATACATCTAAATATCTGATGCCAATAAAAAACCACAGTTTGAGTGATTGTGAGTTAAAGTGACCGACTCATTTTAATGCAAACTGTTCATAACTGGTAACTTTCATACTTTTTGTATATTTTATGTTTGCTCTGTTCCAAAATATAGTTAGGTTTTTCGGACGAAATATTTTGAGTGGAATTACGGTTTACAAGTTGAGGTCCAAGCCGCTTATGACGCATAGACTAGGTTTTTTCAAACAAATTAGTTTTTGAACTATAAATCCTTTTTTTGTATAATATATTATATTATCTACTATTTTAAATACTAAAATATGAACCGTTAAAACCCTAAATTTTCATATTCTTCACAATAACAAAACAAAAAGATGATCGTTAAAGTCAATAGATATAATTTTGTTATTATAATTCATTGTTTTTTTGTATATAATTTACATTTAAAAAGATGTATATGAATGTATTTCTTAATGTCAGGTAAAAAGTAATTATTTATTGTGCATATTAAAAAAAGCAAATGCAAAACTAAGAAGAAAGAATTTTAAACAAATAATTGTGCAGAACACAATTTTATGAGTAGGTATTAAAAAAAACCCTTATAAATTTGATATAATATAATATAGTAGGTACCAAACATTAGTTTGAATAATTAATTAAATTTTAGTCTTTGATATAAAATAATCTGCATAAAAGCACTTACCTTTTCAATGTTTTATGTCTACGATTCATATTATATTGATGCTTTTTATCATTACATAATTTGTATTATTAACTCGGACAGAGAAAACAAATCAATCGTCAGTCTCTTACCTTTATCATTATTATCGCCATCATCATCGTCATCATCATCTTCGTCGTCGTCGTCGTTAGCAGATGAATTAAAATGTCTAATGATCTCATTAAAATGAACATTAATAGTTGTTATGCGCCTAAAATTTAATTCTCAGTACAATACGTCTTATACGATGGGGTTTGCAATAATTTTAACTTATTGTTTTTGTGATCACCGTTTCAAACATTATAATATAATATTCAATCGTTGTGACGAACAGTTAAATATATTAATATTGTTTTATAAAAATACAGGAGCTGAGTAAGACCGATATTATATTATACTATATATTTTACAATTTACAGCCATACAATAATCAGTAAACATTTGTCGGAAAGTGAAGTGGTTTAGTTTAAAAAATACAATTCATAACGAGCCCGTCGACGAGAGTGATATCTTATATATATATATATATATGCACTATGTCACACCGGCTACCAACAATAATATTATTACTACTAACAGAAATATATTTTTGAAGTATTTAATAGAATATTTATAAATGCACTGTGCAATAGTATACCTAACGGATAACACCTATAGATGCACACTGCACCGTCACTTTCTCTGCATGTATTATTATCGAAACTGTAACGATAAGTAATAACGTGTATTCATATAACTTCATATTCATTCTAATTAATGTATTAAATTGATTATTTTATTAACAATGATTAATATAATAATATGGTATTGGTACCTATGCATTATATACTATGAACATCTGAATGATTATCGTTTCCGTATGTTTTGGTGTGTAGGTTTTTTGAGCCCGACGCAGTACCTTAAGATGAAAAGGTCGAAACAAATCGAATTGTTGCCGATTACACCCGTGTTCGTGCATCCCAAGAACGTGGAACAGAAACCGGGATACTTCGCGGACGTCATTGTACACACAGATGTCGGGTTAGCTAACCCACAATACCAAGCATTGAAAATATTATAAAATAAGCGCCGTGGCCTACAGCGATAATGATATTATGTATTGTATTCGTTTTTTTTTTTTTTTTGGTCCGACTACCTGAAATATACAGAAAATCCGTGAAGTCGTTTCTGGACCTAAGGGGCTGCAATTGGGGGTACACGGGAGACAATTCGCTCAGCAGCAGTGTCACCATACAGAAGTTGCTCAGGACGAACGGAGAAAACTCGTCGTTCTTCGGCAACACGATTAGTAAGTCCATACCTATTTAATATTATTATTTTACTTTTGTCCTGCAGTATAGGCAGGTAGATTAGGCAGTCCGGTAGGTACATCACTAGATTAATAATTATTATTTTTCCCGCTCAATGTCCCGCTACAACAGACAATTTTTTTCCCTTCAGTTCAGTAAATTAAAGAATTCAAATCGATTAGCACAAAATATTTAGGTCAGATTTAGTAGGTAGGTTCGCAATTTTTTTTTTTACACCGGATAAATAATAATAATAAAAAGCGCATTCCTCGACGTTATTTTAAACATAAATATTATCCAACACTGAAAGTATTTAAATTTTTAACGTACCTGTATTATATAGTTATAATAATAATATGTGAAATGATGTCTTCATCTTGCATAAAAAAACAAACGTGTACAACAATACCTTTAATCATAATAAAACAAGGTTTGGTCGACAATAATATTATTAGCGTCACTATACTTCAGTGCAGCTAACTCGACAGTAAAACAAATTCTGAAAAAATGCGTGTCAAGACATTCCAACAGTTATGTATAGCAAGACGTGTAGGTAGCTCGACAAGTCAAACAGAAATTAATTAGAAAATGATAAATTCGCATATTTTATTATCATATAATAATTGCAAAACATGAGATGCGGAGGAACTGCATGTATGAATTATAATATGTTTTTAATGAAATGTTTAAATAAATACAAATCTGTCTGTCGCACCTTTATAATCACCTCGTACAGACAATTATAATATTACGAGTAAAATATTTAATAATATGTAAAACTATTAAATTGTTGTTAAATTTGCATTTTACGTAATTAATATGAACTATATTTTTTATTTACATCAAATATTTAACACAGATTTTGTGATCTTCAATCTTGTTTGGTGTATTGATTTACAAAGTATAAAATAGGTAGGTACCTACCTATTTACTCGAAATCGTATTTAACCAGTTCGTAAAATAAGTAGTGTTTAATAATATTACCATTTGTTCCTATTTAAAATATTAAAACCTTGAAATATTCAATTTTATTAAGAAATAATAATATACGACCATTGGGTATTAGGTGCGACCTCATAATTTGTCGGAACACAAAATATCCGGAAAAATGTAACAAGGGACTACTCGAGCAAAGGACATTGCAAAGTTTAATGAAAAATTACGGTGTTATAAAATTTGATCCATTATGGCTGTTTGCTAAACAATGTATGTATATCGAAAGTTAACAAAGTCATTGTTGATAAAAATATAAAATATTATAACTTACTTCAAAACCAGTTATAAATTTACGAGCAAGTGCTCTACATTTAGTTCTCTGCGTGAAATGTGATCTATATATTATTTTAATAAAAATATATCCAACATAATATTATTTCAACGACTCCAAACCAACCTTACTTCGCACTTTGTACATGACGTATAATATTTAATATGTAGTTTATCTTTTGCTACTCACCTAGGAATACTATTTTTTACAATTATTGATCGACAAATGTTTATATTTTATAAATCCCAATAAAAAATGTAAATAACAAAAAATTAATAAATACAATTAATTTTTTTTTAATACAACGTTGTTTCTGTATAAATAAAAAATTAGTATATCGGAAATAGCTGAAAATTTGTTTTAATTTTATTCCAAAATATGAATCAAATTATTACTAACGTCGACCTTTTTTATTCTTGTACATCACTTGTTGTACCCTTGGCATTTTAATATGGGAAATTTCAAAATATATTTAGGTATATGCTTTTTTCCTTCAATAGTCTAATACATATTTTTTATTAGATTTGCTTATAATAAAAGTAAGAAAAGTTATTTTCCGCTATGTATAGGAATGTAAAACATTTTTTTTTTACTATATTTTGGATAGAAAGTTCACTTAACTTAAAATAGAAAGTACCTACAACGACAATGACAAACTAATTTATAAACACAGTTCTTTCACTCAATTGTTCATATCGATTATATTTTTATTAGAATGTTGTGTTTAAATACAATGGGCATAATTAGTCGTCCAAGTAGGGGGTAATTAATTTGAATTTTAAACAAACTTTAAATTTTAATGCGATAGTTAAATTAAAAAGTACCACTAATACAAACAGTTTAAAACCATATAAAAAAAGATGTAGGTAAAATTACCAATAGTAAGATAACTTACTAAATTACAGCATAGATAATAATAATATTAAGATGTACTTGTGTTTATAGTATTTAAAAGTATTAATTGGCTTTTATTGAAGATAAATCGTTCGTTTACCAAATCACTATACTACTATAGTGGACTTACTAGTTGGATGATTTTTATATTTTAGATTTCAGTCTAACTCTGTTTAATCAAAAACTGAAACGTCAAACGTCAACAACAAATGCCATTTAAACACACAACATTAAAAAAAAAAAAACTAATACGACTACCTACCTATCCGATCGGTCACTCGACAACAATCAGTTATAAAAAAATATATTATTAAATTGTTCGTCTTCAAAAACTCAGTGCATAATTTCCACGGCACACTACCTATACCTAATTGCATTTTAGGATGTAGGCACAATACCTGTTATTATAATACACTTACAACAACTACTTCCTTAATTGTTTTTCGAGAGCAGAGTAATTATACACAATAACAGTAATTATAAAATACCTACCAAACTAAATCATGACGAAAAAAATTCCAAATTGAGTTGGCTAAAATTAATTTCGAAAACACCAGAGGTTTTTTTTTATAAGATATCACCACCAATAGATACGTCAAGTACGCAATATTCGTTTGGAAATCATTATTGTATCTACTTATTGAAGTTCAAAAAATCAACATTTTAATCAAATCCACATTTTTAAATAATGGGGGTATTGATGTAATAGCAGGGTTGAGAACATTCTTGTTGTATCAATCACTCTGTATACACGTGTTGTGCATACTATTACGTATTTACTTCGAACCGTATAGCTATATGGTAAAACTACGCACAAGTGTAAATAATAACAATGATAATAATAATAATATCGCAAAATTATAAAGTATCTGACTTCCGGTGATGTGCGCGTGCGTGTTACAGGGACCGGAAATCATTTGTTGACTGTTGAGAAGGTGCAAGACAAACAAGTGATCGCCGCGGCCGTCGACTCAACGGCCTTTTACAATTACAAAAACGTTTTGCACAAGGACGCAGACGACATAACCGTTTTGGACAGCGTCGGGGCGCTACCTCCGTACGCGATTGTCTGCGGAAAATACTTAAACAGTAATATTATTATTATTATTTATTATTGACGGCGCTTTGGCGGGCCACTACGTTCAATGCGTGTTATGGTTATATTTATTATTACGACGATAGCGTTATTCAATGGTTTTTTTGTCTGCCCACAGAAAAAGAATAATTTTAATGTATAGCTATTTTTATATCACGTTGCGTTACCCAACCGGTACCGTCTACACATTATAATATTGTGTTAATGATTGGATTCTGCAGGAGATCTGAAATCCAGAATCGTGGGCGCCCTGTTGAAAGCCACGATTGCACGGTCGTGGAAAGTGCAGTTCGAGAGATTCGGTCTGATCAAATTCGTGGAAAACTCGAATGACGCCTACACCGAGCTAGAATTCAACGAGCCCCTGGGCGGAAATGGGTTGTCGTCGATCTATTATTGAGGAGACGTAAATTATTTAATAATATGACCTACCTAATGTAATCGTTGATAATATACCTAACAAAAATAGCCATAATAAGTCTTCAGTCAAACCAACAGATTTTTTTTCAAATATTATTATTTCACTTTTTATAGAGACTTTGAGTTTATTTATACAAAATCTGACATCACACATATTGTAATAACTAATAATATATACTATTAAAACCTATACTCGTAAATGAAAATATATATTATAATAATGATAATTAATTTAATTTTGTTATTTTATTAGTTTGTTCATAATATAAATATATCAAACGACGGTGCTGTAGTTTTCTGTTGTATAATAACTAACTCATATACTTAAATTAATTATATATACAATATTTTGTTATATTAAAATTAATTTACACCATAGTCGATTAATGAGTCTGATGTTGAGGTATTTTTGTCTACAATATTTGTATTTAAAGAATTTATCGGATTTATTGATAATCAGTAAGTATACGACTAATGCAACAGCTATATTTACTAGGTAATAATAATTAAGATCACAATAGGTACTTATCTACTGTATTATAAGCGATGTTAAATAATTAAACAATTTAATAATATTATTATAATTAAAAAAAATACAATTGGATTTTACATCATCAGATTTATGTTTTATACTGCCGTTTTTGGCTTAAACTGGATATAGTATTGTGTACAAATTATGGTAGTAGTGAAAACTGCAAATTATAGCTAAACATTTTAATTAGTTAATTAAATATGTAATAACTACTAGGCATGATATTCTCTATAAATTCAGATGTAATTCTAATAAAATAATCACGTTTTTAAATATTTAATTATTTAATGTATTTTATTCATAATAAAGTGGAAAATGTTATAAATACATAAAAAAAACTACAAATTATTGATAAGACGTTGAATTATGAAAGCGACGTTTCAGTTATCAACCACTAGATGGCACAATAAGGATCCAACCTAAACAAAAACGGTTCATACTGATGTCTGTAAATCGTATAATATTACATTGTATTTTTTTATAATTTAACGGAACCACGGCTATTTGAGCACATCTCTTAATTAGTACAAACTGAATTTATTTTCGTTTAATTTCATTTAACACATTCTATGAAGACTTAATTATTATATTTAACGAGGCTATTAAGTTATATTTTAATTGAATACAATAGCAAACAAAATGTAAATAAAAATATATAATCTCCATTACATTAAAAAATTTAATTAAACATAAATTAGTTATAATAATATAATGAACATTTACTTAAGATATAATTTTTACAAAATAATATGTAGTGTAGCAAACTAAAATGTTGTGAACCGTGAGATTCACACACACCCTATTATCACCGATGCCCGTTGCTCGTTGGTTGATACTTGATATTATAATGGTTCATGAACTGATTAATACGAGTTCCAAAGAAAATAGTGCTGGATTGAAAAAAAAATTACATTAAAGCATTCTCTATTCCTCCCCCTAAGATATCGAAATCCACGAGCTCAATATTTTGGGAAATTGTAAGTTGGAAATTCAGAAATTAAAAACGATGGATGGACACTTTCAAATTGAGTTTCTTTAGGCTTTCAGGCTTTAACTTTTCTTGAGCCCAATGTCTTGTGGCACGAATTAAATATAGGACAGGACAGAACATAGAATGGGCGATAATCGGTTTTGAGAGATTATAAATTAATAATATTTTAAGAAATGGCCGAAACCTCATACTTATAGGTTACAGGTTTTGTTGGATCTATCTCGATGCCTATTATAGTAGTAGATTGTGTACAAAAAGACAAAAACGATATTAAAAAATGAAATGTCCCGATTAAAGCCACGGAAAAGAATCAGACGTTGAAAAATATGTGGGTCATGAATCGTGAATTGACTCTTTGTAAGATTACAATATTAGTAGTTAATACTTTTAATTAGTTTAAAAATACTATAGGGCTAACGATCGAACAAATATATTATTTTACAATAAACTATAATAATGGTGTGGTATAACGGTTATTACCGATCATCAACAGTAGTGATACCTGCTAATTTACCCCAAAGCAACCAAATCAACAACGAATCAGACAAATGAAAGAGAGATTAATGTCTTAGCTCCTAAGTGACGATAATGAGTAACGACGTGTGAGGGTAAGTTAATATTGGATTCCAGGTCACCAAGTAAATCAAATCAAATCAAAAGCAACATTGATTTTGGTTATTTTGTTGTTACTCGGAAAATAATATTATAATAATCATTATAATTATTATATATATATATTTTAATGTTGATTTATTGCCTATGTATTGGTTACTTAAAATATAAAAATATTACTCAATATTATGTAAAGTTCTCCAATGTTTCTAGGAATGCAATGATATACCTAAGTATATTATAGCAATGCTTTTTCGAAACATAACTATTTGTAAGCTCTAACACGGCGTAATGTATAGGCAATATAGGAACACTGCACTTAAAAATCTATTACATGTACAGTTTTTTATCTTTTGAGTCGTGTGAACTGCTGTTTTAAATGACCCTGCAATTGATAATGCAATGGATTAACATCTTGTTGAAATACATTATTATTTTGCTTTGTTAGATATTGACATATTGTGTTGGTTTTTCAAAGTTTTAAATCGGCTAAAATCTGAAAAGAGCGCATTTTATAGAACGGTTTATGCTTTTCACCAATAAAGTTGTCTTCAAAAGGTGTTGAGGTTTTGACGTAATCAATAATAATTGTCAACTAAAACGTCGGCAAACACACTATTTTAATAATAATAATAATGTATAACAATTATGCATATTGTAGTAAAATACATACATTAAATAGAAATAATTGTTGCATTATTTTTATTTTATAAACAGTAAATAATAAAAACATTGAAAACCTGACAGGATGCATAAGCCACGTATTATGTATTCGTCATACTTCATGTTCCTCAGTGAAGGTTTATTATATAAACATAACATTATCATAGAGTAGCTTTATTTGAATGTGGTATGAAACTTGTTATAAATAATATACTAACTAAAAGTCTCCTAAATATGATTCTGAGTGTGCATAAAACACTTTTTTTTAAATGACCACGAACATTGTTTATGAATTAAATACAACAAAATAACTTTAAAATATATTGTTCTACCAGTAAATAAATTCTATTAAAAGATTTTTTTTCACTTTTTTCACGCTTTTAAAGAAACTAGAAAAAAAAACAACAAAAATTACTATTTTCACAGATGAAATGTCTATTAATTAGATAAAAAATATTCGATGGGAAAAACATAGATAAAATAATATTAATTAATCATAAGCTGAATCACTAATACATTTCTCGTCTTGCTATAAACCTAAAAGATATCGATCACATTTAATTAAAACTCGTATTGTATGTACCAAACCATTGTTGACAAAAAAATTGTCTTCGTTTCATATGAGGTAAATTAATATAATTTGCGATTTATAATGAATTTAATATTAATATACCGTGCATAATGTTATTTTTGGTTTATGTTACCGTGTTCCCAAGAATCCTCGCCTCAGCGTACTGTCGGTAAAATTTTAAACTTGTGTAATAAATTTAAAAAAAAATGCATTCTCATTCAGACGTTTCATTATTAACTTTAAAAAAGAACAAATGAATGGATTTGCCCTCAAATTTGGGCCAAGTCGACTTTACGATTTTTGTTTTTACGGTGAAGAGAACACAAACAAAAGTAAAACTCACAGTTTTTATGTAAATTCTAAAAGTTTTCTCTTCGGTCAGAGATAAAATTAAGTAAAGTTAATTTAAGTCGCCAGCAAGGGTATGAAACTTAAAGTCTTGTAAAATGCGTCAGCACAGTGTTAGGTTTGAATAAATTGTCATATAAAAGTATGAAGTGTGTAAATAATAAATATAATAATATTTCAATACTATTATTCGAACAACTTAATTCAAATTAATACAACGCTGTTTGTTGTTTACTGAGAAAATGAATAGTATTATTAGTGTAGTATATGGTTAGGTTAGGCTGTATCAATAGTATAATCAGTGATAATATCTTATCAATCATCATAAACAAATCAATAATATTATATTGTTATTCAATTAAAAATATTGTTGTAAGAACTTTTCTTTTCTTATCAGTTTGGAAAAATAATTAATAATTTCGCTATTTCTATCGAATTACATAAAGAAATGTGTTCATTAATTCTGTGAACTTTCGTTATGGTATAATATATTCAATGAAAAAACACTTCAACAACTATCGGGCCTATTCGTATTATATTGTGTTTTCTGAATGTCTGAATTCCAAAATTTGCCAACAGATACTCAGCTAGGTATACCGATTCAAAACTTTTTTCACCTAATTAATATACTCTGAATATATTATTTTTTTTTTTTTTATATTTTTTTACAGAGTTTTCGTGAATATATATTTTTTTTTAATATCAATACACAAAGAGCAGGTAGGTATCTCGTCTATATTATATACTCATAACAAACAGCCGTCGCTGATCGTATGCGCATAGAACACGATACAAATATAATATAGGCATTGCACTTTGTGCGTTATCGTGTTTGTGTCAACTTCACAAAACGGTTGGTCGCTAATGATGTTTATTTTTTAGCATTCGGAATAATGGGATTCGCCATTACTCCGCCGGCTACACTTTACAAACCGTTAACCCTATTTATCGTGACATGGTATGTTATATCTATGGTGAATTTATTACACCGCAGTACGAGTATCATAATATTATTACTATTATTATTATTATTACTATGAGATTTGCTTGAATTTTTTTCAACGAGTCAACACTTTTCATCGACAAGTGGACACCGAAATGGCTGATCCGTAGCCTGTGATACTTACCTGTCCGAGTGTATTTTTATCATCAATAAACGCGCAACGACACGACGCCCGCGTAACCTGGGTGTCGCGAATGTAGATTTAGGCGCCTATACCTAGGTACCTGCAGCAGTGGTGTGAGTACGGTTGGTATAATTCG